ATATATATATATATATATATATATATATATATATATATATATATATATATATATATATATATATATATATTCAGATGTTCCTCTCAGTTCCAATTACATATGTCACAAGTGTTCAATAGGCCTCTTATGGAATACAGCATATTTTTTAGAAATTCCTCATTAATTAGCTCCTGATTTTTGCTCTGTTTATTCTTCCATTCCAAACACTGACCTGGTCAACGACCTGAACCAGACCGTCTGTCGCCATGGTAACTGGTGTTGGGTTCCTATAGTAATGTTGCAATTTTATAGTATGAAGGATTTAGACTTCTGTCACCATTATGTGAATGTGTTTGAATTAACAGAGCAGACCATATATGAAGGTAAACACTATGCATTTGCTTTGCAAATGTTACCTTTCTAGTCATCATCTAATTACGTCAAGCATCACTTAAGCTACCTACATACTATAAAGAATGACAATCCGTCAGCCGGTTCTTGCCAAGTTATCCTCCCCAACTAAGACATCAAAACCGGAAGTTCTGAGGGGTGGGAGGCAAAATCTAATAATTTCTAGGTCTTTTCAAGGCCTATCTAACTACGAAGTTTCATGACAATCCATAAATAAGCTTCTCATCGTGCTAAACCACACACACACGCACACAAACACTATGAACACATAACCTTGCCGAAGGTCCAAAGTCCAAGAACATCACAAGCTGTAAATGCCGACGTGCCCGTACGTGATCGTGACGTTGCCCGCAGTTCCCGTCTTCTTCTGCTCCCAACTCCAGCAAAACTTTGCGTTACAGCCGCGGTAAATGTTTCTTCTGGTCACTGGTGGTTCCAAAAAGACAACAAAAACGGCCAAAAATCATTGGCAGATGGTGGTCTCCTTCAGTAGGTGTACGTTGCAGTTCCTGGTGAGGTGAGGTGACCTGTCAACTCTGAAGTATACTAGTAGTAGAAGTAGATGAACCTTAGCCACTGCACTTATCGGCGCACGCGCACAGCTGTGTAAGCCTTACCCAATTTACTTTGTGATAACTGTACTGTACCCATGGAGGTAAAAATCACATTTTGATTTTTGGCGACACCTTTGGGGCGGAGGCATTTGTGCAAGTACTACGATCGCTTTGAAAGAATTTCAGAAATTGCACGAATGCATTCCCTAGGGAATTGGTTTTGAGGTAACCTTCAGCCATGTAGTTTTTGGATCAAGCAGGTAACTTAAACCGGGTGCCCACGTGCCACCCATCCAGCTGCCTGGCATGATTAATTACTGGTCATCTGTCTTCTCCCCACACCATGGACAGAGAGCACAGCTGTCTTTGGCCACCTTGGCCAAAGACCATATTCAAACAGATCACACAGAGAAAAGAAATTATCCGTCCTTTTGGAACCCACAAAAGGTAAAAAAAAGTCATAGGAGTAACAACCAGACGTAAAATCCAGTCTCTGGTGGAGGATAGAGTGAAGTGGAGGATGGTTTTAAGTTTGGTTTGAGTGGGAACTCGACAAAAGTCCCACTTACCAGGTAAAGTAAGTAAGTATGTCATCATAAAATTTATATTGCTGGGGAAGAAAGTTTGATTCGTTCTATACGTGTATTTGGTATATTGCCCCACACATCCTCCACCCATCCTGTAAATTGCACTACATGCATGTGTTTATAAGAAAGGGAAATCTGTTTTTCTTAAAATTGTAATGTAGATTGCTAGCTCCACCACATGAAATAATATATATATATCTTTCAGTCGTCGCCTTGGCAATGATTTTTATTGCCTCTGCCTTGTTACCTCCATGTTTAAATATTGACCCGGCCTTTTGTGTTGACTTCATGGCTCCTATCGTTGCAAGCATTTGGGGCTATAATAGGATGCCTAGACCTGTTTTTATTTTATTTTTCTTTCGCCCTGTCGCTTCATATTTTTTCTGAATAAATCCGGGAACCAATAAATTAAATTGATGTGACCTTAGACTATTATACAGTATGGTTTCACGTTTATGAAATAGGATATTTTTGCAGGCATAAATGTACAGTTTGGATATTTCTGAACACGAGTAGTCAAGAAGTTACAATGTACTTTCAATCCATACAGCCCAGCATGAGTAAATCCTATAGACTGGGGACAGTTGTGTAAGACACTCCACATTGTGTTGTACAAATTCTGCTTTTCCTGATGTTTGTCCAGATTATCTAACGTTATAATAGGCTCCATACTGTGGAGCAATACCATGTGAGGACAAGATCAAGAAGGACAGTGCAAGGTAGGCTGGGTTCTTCTGGGCTGGTCTGGGTTCTTCTGGAGTGGGCTGGATTCTACGGGGCAAGGCTGGGTTCTTCTGGCGAAGGCTCAGTCTTGTTGCTCAATTTTCAGAACTAAGACATACTGAATGCCCTTACATCACCTGCAGGGACCATGGAGGTAAAATTTTTCTACCTCCATGCAGGGACCAAGACATCGAGCCAGGGGCGCCCTCCGCCAAGGGGCTGTGCATCCCTTTCAAGCCACTGAAGGAGCTCCAGCCAGGGACAAAGTGCATCTGGGAGGGCTGTGACAAGGATGCCAAGTACTACACCCTGTTTGGCCGCAGCTATTAGAAGTCAAAGTCAAGGTCAACTGTGGAATGATTTTTGTTGCAAAGATGAATTGGGGGTGGGGCATTGGGTGCAAAGAAAATGACTATGTAATCAATGAAACGTCAATTTGCAGATTCAGATGTTTTCTGGTTAAGTTATCTTTACTTAGACACCAATATTGAAGATTTCCAGCTGTGACTTCAGATGAATGGTGATAAACATGTATGTCTGCTCCCCTCCTGTCAGAATGGAACGTACCATCAAATGACAGGAAATAATAATTTTTTAGTACAAGTCTGTCATGTCATCACTCAGCTAAGCAGTATCTGCATTCCTAAATCAATCAGGCTTGTCTTAGATATAACAGATCATAGTTGTAATTATAGTAATTAAATGCAATAACGGTAGATATAGATAAGTACAAAATTGATATGTGACATTGAGGAAGCTGATAAAGGCACGTGTAGTACATGTAATTACATTTATACAAGTAAAAGCTCAGTGAAACTGAATTGAAAACTAAAATGAGAAATAAAAGATATGAGCTTTAATAATAAATAATGAAACTTATTGCACCACAACTTTCCCTTGTGACCATATCATGAAGTCACTGTTGTGTGCATTAACATTAATAACATCTGTGATATGAATCAAAAAGTAGCATGTGAAGGCGCTCGTGCAATCTTGAAATTCTTGTTTTATTTCACCTGCAAGCAGCTTCTAATATTCAAACTTGCTCACACAGAAAAATATTACACATTTTCACATGCAGATGTTACATCTATAAACATAAGGATTGTCAGAATTTAAACAAATGTCTTTCATATGGAAAAAGTAAAATCTTATATCATTCATCAAGTATGGACTGAAAGGTAATAGGAAACTATTTCTTGTAGTTCCTTGGACTCCTTAAGTGTCGATGTGCTTGGCTGTTGAGGCATGGCTGTCCTTCAGGCTGTAGGGTTTCCAGACAAGGATCTGTAGGAAGGCGATGGTTGCAGGGAGAAGGCAGAAGATATGGAACATGACCTGCCTGAGCTCGTCATGCCCAGCAGTGCTTGTGCCCAGTCCAGTGGTGCTCCGCACCAGGTCCTCATACCCATACCTATTCAGGATGCTTACCACCAGCATTGGTGCCAGTGACTGTGCCGGCTTGGTGAACAACGCGTTCATTCCGAAGAACATGGATGACAATGGAGTCCTGCAGACAACACGTCATACAAAAATTGTACTTCTCCCTGCAGTAGAAACTGCACACACAGACAATGACATTAACTATACCTCATTCTTTAGGGGATAAGTAGATAATGTTGCAGATGACATTATCTGTAAGATACTGAGAAAGCCAGGAAAATGTTAATGAATAATGAAACAACATAAACAAAGATTGTTGCTTACTTTCTGGCATATTTTTTACAGTCAGCATCAATGATGTCAGAAACAGAGATGTTGAACAGGTTGAAAATTGCTCCTGGGATGCTCCTGCAGGGAAGGAGAAAAACTGTTATGTAAATGTCCAACAGCAGATAGACACAATCATCCACTACTCAGTGTACAGTATGTACAAATGTATCAGTCACAGGTGTACTCACATGTCCATCAGCAGATACAGAACGACCAGCCATGGTTGTGGCCCTGCCAGGAACATACCCACTGCACACACCAACTCCAGGTAGAAGGAGGCCAGGATGACCCGATATGACCCCACCTGCTCAACAACTGGACTCAGAAGCAGAGTAGTGATCTGAAACACAAGGAGCATCGGATCCTTAATATTGTGGATAAACAAATAGTAGGGATGAAAGTACATGTAATACACTTTCCAAGCATCAGAAGTTTTCTATTGGCTGTTGACTTCATCAAACCCTAAACAAGTGGTAAACTGACAATCAATACAGTGAAATATGCACTGTATTGATTGAATTCTAGAAGGTAGGCAGAGGAACATTGAAATAGAGATACCTGACAACATCAATACACATGTACAGCAAAAGGTCATAAATCACTCGTAGCAAAAGGTTATTTGATGCCAATGTTAGTTGTGAGCCATCTAAAAGACTGATGAACATTACCGGGGATAAAAACCCAGACCCATAGAGAACACTTCTGGTCAGAGAGCTGAACATGTCTTCTGGCAGGAGGTTGTCCACAAAAATCATGGCAAAATTGATCAGAAATGTCTTGTGGAAGGTTTGCAGGAAGTTCATTGTTACAAACAGAACAAAGTTCTTTTGTGTAACTATTTGCCACGTCAATTTCCAGAAAGAACTAGAATTGCCATCATCCTTAGGTTGACTCTCAGCCTCCAGAAAGGCTTGGTCTCGTGTGTGGTCGAGCTCTGTGCGGATGTGTAGTGCAGCGTAGTGCATGCTGGCCCAGGCCAGGGCCGCCACCAGGAGTGTGAAGATGCGGAAGTTGTGCAGGTTCTCCATGTAGTTGGAGACGGCTGAAGCGATGCCGATGGTTGGCCCAGTCCCCAGCAGCCCTGCCACCTGACAGTACCTCATCAGCTGCACCCTGTCCTCATGCCTCCTGGAGACCTCCGTGAACAGGGCGCAGTGTTGGAGCAGCACGAAGGTGAAGAGGGTGTCATACATGTTCAGTGCCACGATCAGGTGCAGGCCAATCAGCCAATCATCAGGCTCGTACTGTCCCCATGGAAACCAAGGGATGAGGAAGCTGAGTGCAAAGAGAGGTGCTCCGTACAGGATAGACGTTCGTCGCTGTCGAAAACATGCCAAGCTGGAGTTATCCTGGAAGTAGCCAAAAAGGGGGTCATTGATGGCATTCCATATCATGTATATCACCTGGGCCTGGTTGAACCAAACTTCAGAGATCTTGTAGCTGTTCAGGAACAGTTTCACATAGTAGAAGTTGAAAAGAGGGTTCATCATGGCATTGGCAAATGCCACTGAAGCATAAGCCACAGCGTTCTTGTCCAGGCTTGGCAGCTTCATCCTCAGACGCATACATGTATCTTCAGGATGCAAGGCAGGGTTTCCTCCCTGTCTGTCAGGGCTTGAAAGGTGCACTGGGGCAGCTGCTGTACAGGTGCCAGGATATCCCTGCCCTGTAATGAATTCATACAATTTTTTATGTTAGATCTTTAATAGATGCCGTATGAAAAATGCATAAGGACAGATTTGTCATTTAGGAAACCAGCATTAATATGCATCTTCAATGTTAAAAGTTAGAAAACCCGGAAGTACGATTATGAGCCACTAGGTACCCAAAACAGAGATAAACACCAAGCTGCAAAATACGGACCGGTCCTGCCACGTACGTCACTGTCCGGGACGTTGCACCCGCAGGTCCCGCCGTTTTCCGCCCCCCGTTTTCTGCTCCCACTCCGGCAAAACTTCACGTTACAGCCACTGCAAATGTTTGTTCTGGTTGTAAGATCTTCCTTTTGAAAAGTTGATTCGTGTCAGTGATACTCCGTACAGGGGTCGTTCGAGGGTAGTTAAGAAGAAGAAGAAGAAGTGTCAGGAGGTGTGGCATTTCCTGCTCACCTGTCCAATAACAGGTGAGATGACCTGTCAACTCTGAACCTTAACCGCTGTACCGTTCGGCGCACGCGCAGAGCTGTGTAAATCTAACCAAAATGTCGGGAGTGGGGAAGGATCGGCTGGACGTTTTCCCGTCCCGCATGTGAGTTTTACTGTCTATCTGCACGGACTTGGGCTGTAAGGGGTGTTTGTAAGGTAGAGTAGGCGGAGGTAGCTTTCGTAGACAGGCGTCGCGCAAATGTGGCCGTCAAACGCAGAAACCGTGAGGTGATGTCACCTTGTCAGCTGCATCAGAGTCATGTGACATGAAAACGGTGCTTAACTCTCCCCATGCTGTCTTGTGCCGTTCATTTTATAACGTTTATAAGGTTAATACTTGTACAGATTTGCATCCATGGGAAAAAGGTTCAACTGTGCACTTTGATAAAGGCTTTGATATGTCCATCTCCATGATCCAGTTTAGGCTGGGCTGTTCCAAAATTTAGAGGTGGAGGGGGTTGAAGAGGTGTCATAAAATCTTTATCCCCTTGTCCAACATTCTGACAGGAACATGATGGTGATGCGGGGCCGGCTGAAGGGAGCCCAGAAGGGACACAGCCTGCTGAAGAAGAAGGCTGATGCCCTCACCCTCAGATTCCGGCAGATCCTTGCCAAGATTATAGATGTGAGTGTTGCTCACCTGTTCTTTTATGGTTCTGTGTTTCCATGATTATCAATACACATGATGCAATGTTTCAATTCATCCTGCTGTTTTTGTCTGTGGGACTTGTCGTATCTCTGATTACTATGTTACTGCATGTTTCCTTGCTAACCTTTATCCTCCACAGACGAAGATGCTGATGGGGGAGGTGATGAAAGATGCTGCCTTCTCATTGGCTGAAGCCAAGTTCATTATTGGAGATGTGAAGTAAGCATCTTTACCTGCTTTAGAACTTTGGGTCTAAGACAGACTTTGAAAAACAAAAAAAAAGCAACTGTCTGCTATTAGAGCATGATGGCTGATAGTGCAATGTATCTTCCCAGTATTTGCTCTTTACTACCCAGGCCAAGATTGACCAGGCTAGAGTAGTCAATAGTAACAGATGAAAGAAATTACTCAGGGATGCCACGTTAATCCTTCAGTGATCTTTATCCCATTTGCCTTCCAGTCAGATAGTTCTACAGAATGTAACCAAGGCTCAGACAAAAGTCAGATTCAAGAAGGACAATGTTGCAGGTAAGACTTACATTCTCATACTCTGTGCTGTGTGTGAGCCATTTAACTGCTCTGTATCATACTGTAGTGAAGTGGTAAAACCTATATCTTTGTTTTCTTTATAAGCCTAATTCTTACCCTGAGCATCTACAAGCCAATTTTTATTTGGACAGAGACCTTGTGTTAACTGGACTGTGAACCCACTGTGGTGGTAAACCTATGAGAAAATCACCCTTCAACTTCTATTATTATCTATAGTCAGTCTTACCTTTAGAATACTTACTCTAATAGTATCAGATCAAACTACCCAGAGACCACATCCAGGTGTTAACTGTGTCCACAGGTGTGTCCCTGCCGGTGTTCGAGCACTACGCAGACGGAAGCGACAGTAAGTTCCCGTCAGGTCATCCTGGCCAGATTCATGTTAATTACAAGTTATAATTACTCACTGATACATGTATATTTAAGTGAATGTGAATTTAACTAGTTTCATGACAATAGCAAATTAAGTCACCCTACTGTCTCAATGCAATGCTGATAGACCTTTTTTTTGCTGTCCCATGCCCTCATGACCCTGTTATCTTTTTTCCTGACCTTGCTGTTGTCCTTTTGCTGCTATCCACATGTTCCTCTGTACTAGCCATTAGGTGGCTGAGCTGTTGTTTATTTATTTGTTTGTGATTTAGCCTGTTAAGGGGGCACACCCCAGTTTATTTGGCGTCTCTATTCGAAGCTGCACACCCTCAAATCTAGCGACCGTCTCTGGCGTGGAATAATTCGGAAGGAGAATAACTGTATATGGGACGAAAGGATATCTCTTCAGCTACAAGACCAGCTGAGTTTGGTTTCTTCAACCTTTTTAAGTTTGGTAAAATCAACGGAAAAAACATTATTTTCACTCCAAAATTAATGCCCAAAATTGCGAATTTTCGCGTAGGATAATCCCGTAGAAAAGAATTTTCCGGCAGAAATGACTGATGCTGGCAGAAAGACCCAAGCCTTGACTATACCCGAGTAAATTATAAAGAAAATTCTAGTACTGTAATTTTCTAAACAGTCCACGGCGCGAGGGGTTGCAAATCCACCCCTACGAAGCCGCAGAGCGAAATCTAGGTCAAACGGGCGGATTACACTTGGCGCGCAAGGATACCCGGAAGTAAGGTTCGGAGCCAAAAGAAATTTTCACCCGAAAATCACCATTTCTGACACTCTTCAGCCATGTTAATGTTTAATGATACTTCGTGGCAGTTTATGAGAAATGTCACCTCAAACTTGGACCCTCAAAACCCTTTCGTCACTTTTTTGCAACGGACTACCACGGACCCCGGTCGCGCAAGAACTGGGGTGTGCACCGTTATATGGTGGGGTTGATGTTTATTGTTTGTTTGTTTGTCCAGCTTATGAGCTGGCGGGGCTGTCCCGAGGTGGACAGCAGGTGGCCAAGCTGAAGAAGAACTATGGGAAGGCAGTGGAACTGCTGGTGGACCTGGCCTCGCTGCAGACAGCCTTCATCACGCTGGATGAGGTCATCAAGATCACCAACAGAAGAGTCAACGCCATCGAGCATGGTATTAACCTTTCTGTGTGGACAGTGCATCAAGACTCTCTTCATGGGATTCATTTTAATCACACTGCAAATAGTTCAGCCTTTCCTGCACTGACACCTATATTTTCAGCATTTTCCTTGACAAGATGATGCAGTTACTTCGCAATCACCCCGTGTCCAATATCACATGTGCAGTGTTATCTTCCCCATGTCCAGTGATCATCCCAAGGATTGAGAACACCCTGTCCTACATTGTCTCTGAGCTGGACGAGAGGGAGAGAGAAGAGTTCTACAGGTAAGCCTGCATTCCTCATCTACCTCTCCCAAACCTACATGTAAGCCTGTTTTCCTTGGGATAACACCAGTGATAGCTTTACCAGTCCTCAAGGTGGTTCCATGTGTGAATACTATCTCAGTTCTAACATTTTTACAGAATGGATTTTTTCTGCCACATGATTCATAATACTGTGCTTGTACTTTTTGTCAGTCAAACTGCTTCACTTCATTACATACATATTGCATTTTATTACATACAAGCAATGTTTTTAAAATTTTTTTCTTTCCTTCAGGTTAAGAAATCCAGGAGAAGAAGAAGATAATCCGTGAGAAGGCAGAGAAGCGGATTGCTGCTCAAAGAGCACAAGGGGAGTACAAGGAGCCAGCCAATTTACTAGAGGAAGAGCATGATTCAGACTTGCTGTTTGAAACATAAAATACCCCTCCGACATAGTAACAGTGTTAAGGACCACAACAAGGGAAGTGGGAATGTCATGACAACATAGGTAAAGCAAATCCTGCCTGTTGAGTTGGGTCATTGCCAGACTGGCATGACACTGGACATGCACATGTAGTTATGGATGTTTCTGTACTGCATTAAATATACAAGTATGTATATTGAGTCCCTTCCTGCCAATTGTAGCAAGTGTCAGGTAATAGTAGCACTAAGTAGTGTGTATATGTTACATGTATGTAACAATGGATGTGAATTTGGGTAATGGTATCAATGAAAGCAGTGGTACTTACATCTGTAGCAGTCATATTAGTCAGTGGTCTAACTGCCATTCTGTGTCACAAATCAGCACTAGCTAGTTACTAGTATACAATGTCAGCTGACATCACACCTAAGCCAGTAACATATGTATGTGCTATGACTGGTATCGGTAGCAATAGTGGATGTAAGAATGATTATAATATCGGACAACAGTTGTATCAGTAAATGTAAAGGTGTATATTTATGAACATGTTGTGCAAAATGAAGACCACATTGTTTTAACAGACCAACACTTGTGAACAAGTCTTGCTGTTTCCTTTGACTTCTTGTACAGTGTATGGAAATTGTACTAATACAATAGTAGTACTATAAAATGAAGAGTTATTAATGAAAAAATATATTATATGCCTGCAGCATTATTATGATGAATTATAACCAATATGACAATAGCTTGTCATGTTGTTTTCCTCTGTACTTGTACTTGGCATTAAGCTGGGTTAGAATAAGGCATGCTGCTAGCTAGTGAAAAATATTCTGCTGTCACTCCTTATTCTCTCTTTCACCCTTTGGTTGATCCCTCTAGTCATCCTGGAAACAAGAAGAACAAAATGTCTGTTAGACATAACAAATGCAGCAGGTATGTTTAGTATAAGTTAAGAATTACTAGAGTTTGCCTTGGAGAGGAACGTCTACTGGAACTAACCTAAATCTAACTTTTACAGTTCCTAACAATTGCCCTCTCACCCATTCGTCTTCATCCACCCCCTGGTTCTCTTCGTCCCTCTGTTCTTGCTGGTCCCTCTTCACAGCCATGACCTTCTCTGTCCATGATGCCCCCACCATGTTGCCCCCAGCAAAGTTGGAGACCTGCGATGTTGCCCCGTCCAGCTGGGCAACATTATCTGTGGACAGAGGGAGACAAATAAAACATATTTCTGATAAGGCTTTATAATATGACAGGACAGTCAGCTGGGTCAACCACTAAGTCCAAGATGGAAGGAGGCTGATGTGACACGCAAACATATTTTTGTCTCCAGTTCATACATACTCAAGAGACTCACAAATGAAGAGTCCATCTCCCCTGGTTTTTAATCTGACGTTGTCCCCGGTGTTCAGCTCCATCCCTGCCAGCTCCTCCTCCTGGACCCAGAAGGACAGACAGCCGTGTCTCTTGACCTGCTGTGTCAGGTGGTCCAGCTCAGCTGACATCACCACTGCCTCCAGCTCTTCTGTGGTCAGCCTGTCGGTCTGACCCCTGGCTTCCACTTCTGTAGTCAACACACATGCACTTTATCTGACCCTTACAAGTCAGGGTTACCATACCTTTCATTCTTAGTAATTGCTCTTTTACTTCAGCACCACATTTTTCAGTTTTGCTGTAACAGTTAGTGTTAAGGCTTTTTGGTATTACATTTCAACAACAAATGTCTTTGCTAGAGGTCAGTGAAATGTCACTTATACAACACAACACAATATCACATTTAAGTAATTTGTCAAACCAGCATTGATGCTAGTGTTACATTTCAGTGGTTAGTTCTGCAGGTGTGGAAGTACATACTGTATGATGAGTGCAGGTAGCCTGTGTTAACCTTCCAAGTGTCACTGAAGTTTGGTTCGACCTCCTTCCCGGCTGCATCAAACTTCCTGCGATGGGCTTGGGTGGGGTGGACATGCAGCACGCAATACCTGAACTGTGCAGTGGGAGGGTAGGGGGTGAAGAAAGCTACTTAAGCAATTTAGCTGGGATACATGGGGAAAAGGAAAGCTTGTTGTACAATCTAGATGGTGAGTCATCTATGTCCAAACATGCACATTGGTCACTTGGATTTGAACCGGTATTTCGTCTTGTGTGTCTTTTCATATCCTAAGTACCAGCTACACTTCTGCTTCTTTCTGACATGCGCCATGCATTATCCACCATGCAGCATGGCCTGACCTTGGTCTGACTGGGATCAATGATGACATGTCTGGACCTGCCCTCGATCCTTCCCTCCACCAGCACTCCTGCACCTCTGGCAGAGGGAAATGTTCTCATTAACCTCGTACAAATTGTTGGAAGTATTAACAATACATGAAAAATATCTGTTTTTTTAATACCTATTATCAAATTCTTTTTTGAAGTTGGAGTCTTGATAGTTGAGTGCATGTAAACAGGAAGAATCTGTTAGTGCAGAAGGAACTGATTGGTGAATGTTCCCCATTCTGGAGATGAGCTAACGTTATCATCATTTAATATCAATTTGAAAATAATGAGGTAAGCCTACATATCATGGTTAACAAATATGACGAACATTGGTAAATGACATGCTATTGACAGTTAGTTTATTGTTATGTAGTGAGGAGGGGTGTACATATGCATCATTCCATCATTATGAACACAGATCTGATATTTGTTATACATTGTAACATTTGAAACATATTACAAAATTTAGGGAAAACATCCTAACTTTTGGTAGTTGCTGGGATTCCATACAGTTGTCAGCTGGTGAGTCTGGACTGGAATGGACATTAACGGCTGGTTGTCGTACAAACGACTCATTATCGCGATTGTGGGCTGCTGTTCTGTCTTTTCTGTGTGTTTAGGCTCAGGTCTGTCTGTGTTCTGTTGTTCCTCTTCCCCTTCCTCTGCTCTGCACCGGAAGTTGATACCGGAAGCGGTACGACCTACTGTGCTATATAACATAGTGTCTGATTGGTGGATATTGTCAGCACTCACCAATCACGGGAGTCGGCTTGTCTCTTGTTTTTGGCGGCCATATTGAATGGTCTGCAGATATGGAAGAAATCGGAAATTTATAAATTATCCAGACGGGGCGATCGGTAGGAGCAGTTCTCAGGGCGGCCGGCGGTTTTGGTGACATGTACACGTTCGTGAATAGGGACGAGAGCAGCAGCGTGTACGGCGCCGTTGCCGAGCTGCTGGTGGCTCGGGGAGACTGGCGATGTCTGCCGAGGGACTCGGCGCGGTTCCACCTCATGCTCGGCGAGAGGAACAAGCTGCCGTTCGGACGGCTCGGTGAGCGCGGTACCGTTAGTTTCTACATAATCAGTAACCTGGTAGACAGACCATTCTTGGCTCCACAGTATCTGTACGGCGCGGGGGCTGGTGCAGTAAGCTGAGTGAAGGGAGTGATTGGTTGATTGATTGATTGATTTGTATTTGATTGATTGAAGGGAGAGGCTGTTTCTTTAATCGGTCCGGCTCCCACCTCCACCTATGTCTAGGACTCTAATTTGAAGTGATCATGATACCAAGAAGGTTCAATCCTTGATGATACTGTGTCTTGTCATAGTATGACAGTGTAGAACAAGAATGCTTCACCTCTTATATATTAGGCTGCGACTGCATGGGTACTGTTTGGACAATAAAAACCATTTATTATTATTATTATTATTATTACCTGTAACCTATCTAATACTAGTAATTTTACTCTATGTAGTAACAGTTACAACATGGAGGTAGAAAAAGAGACCTCCATGGTATGGTTACAGCAAGAACAGATCATTTATATAATAGAGGACACAACTGTATAATTCTTTGGCAATGTCCAAGTTGCTACATTCAATGGATCATGTAGTTTGTAATGAGTAACTTGTTATTGTTGAAATATAGAAGTATTTAAAAGAATCATGGAATAGTAACATTACAGTACATGCATACATGCAGTAGACTAGTAGACATGTAATTATATATAATATACAATTTTTTTTCAAACAAACTAGTCAACCTTTTTCAAAGATTGTAAAGTTCTGTTGTTGTTTACTGTTGTTGTCTCCCCAGGCCACGAGCCAGGTCTTGTCCAGCTGGTGAACTACTACCGAGGATCAGGGAGCATCTGTAGGAAGACTTCCATGGTCAAGTAAACAGTCTGTCTGTTGTTTTCGTGTTGTACAATGGAAGTGGCTATTGACAGGCTGTCTTTCTTACTGACAGACAGCAAAGGCATAATAGTCAAATAAATGCCCTCAGTGAGTTGTGCATTGTAATGGTATATCTTGAAGACCTGATTCCTGGTAGTATCTTTTTTTTAAAACATTGTTAATTATTTGTGGTCTACTCTTACAGCATAGCCTGCCAATATCATTTCTTTTATACAATATACACTGCCACAATATCTGATAGACAACAGCAACAAACCTCTGTAACTACACTGAGCATTGAGTTTGTACATGTAAAAGTTGTACTTGTCCCTTGCAGGACTGTTCAGAGTGCCAGCTCTGCTGAAGGGTCAGACCCATTCCGGTGGATGCCACTGTCTTTCATCGTCTGCCCCACCAGATTCCTCGCTGAGAATGATGAGAAGGCAGCCAGGGGCAGGCTAGGGTTGAAGCCGAGGCGGAAGGACGAGAGAAGCGAGTTCCGTACTGCAGCTTCCGATGGAAAGGGTGGTGTCTGGATCGCCAAGGCATCTGCTGGTGCTAAAGGTGCAAACTTCTACAACAACCAAACTATTTTTACCCCTACAAGTATACTCAAGGATACCTCCTAGTGTCACTTCTGCAAGTCCAGTTACCATAAATAGTATACTCAGGCTTTTAGCTAGGATTTTTTTGTTGGGTGTCCATTTTTTTATTGTACGCAGCAAAGACGCACAGTGTGTGACCTTTTTAGGGGGGCTTTTTTGACATTCATAATTCTCTCAAACACAACTTTCTGCATTTTGAGGAATTTGAGTTTTTTCCTTCAGTAAACCATCATTTTTGTATGCTGAAAGGAGGCATGTGTGCATGGCAGGGGTTGGAAGTGGAAAAAATATGGTGTCTTTAGGGTGTCCTACCAAAAAGTAGGGCGTCCAATTTCTTACTATTTTCAGTACAGGGCGTCCAAAAGACACCCTGGACACCCCCTAGCTAAAAGCCTGAGTATACTAGTACTCACTTTTTTTAAGTCAGGCAAAAATTGATTTGCATGCAGATGTCATACATAAAATTTCCTTGCTATGCCCAAGGACTATGCCCAAGGTCAAGTCGCAAAAGGAGGAGAGTATGGCTTTGCTCCTTTGCTGATGACAAAGATGATCGGATATAAGGTTAAGGGTGACTGTGTGTGTAGTCACCGTAGTGTATTATTGAGTGCTTTATATCTGCAGGTGAGGATATCCTGATCTCTTCAGACTGTGAGTCGCTGCTGGAGTTTGTAGACAGAGGCAAGCAATCTCACGTCATACAGAAATACATCGAAGATCCACTGCTGCTCACAGGCAACAGGAAGTTTGACATGAGGTAGGACAGTTCAGGTCTCCAACAGTCTCTTTTTGGGGGGAAGATTTCACAGTGTACATAATGTACATGTAACATGTACATGTACATGTATGCATGTCAATGGTGTTATATGTATCCAATGATGATGATGATGATGTATCCTATATCCACAGTCGCATGTCAGGTTAAACTGTGGATGGTGTGATGTTAAGATGTCAAAATTCCATGTGATTTTAAGATGTTTGTTGTTTGTTTGTATGCATTTTTTTATTTATTGTATTTTGTGGTAGATGTTGTAATACATTACACTGACTTTATTTTTATATTGTTTGTTGTTTGTTTTTATGTACACTGTAGGATGTGGGTTTTGTTTGTTTGTGTGTTGGATGTGGTGTTTGTTGTTTGTATGCTTGTTTGTTTGCTTGTAGGATGTGGGTTTTACTTGATCACCAGTACAGCATCTGGATGTTCAAGCAGGGAGTTCTGAGAACGTCGTCTGACCCTTACAACCCTGGAGACCTTCAGGACTTGACAAGCCACCTAACCAATCACTGCTTACAGGTCAGTCATACCTAACCAATCACTGCTTACAGCTCAGTCCCATCCAACTAACCACTGCTTACATGTCAGCACTGTCTGTCTCCACACATGGTTTATATACATTACCATGTGGCTGTGATTTCACTTTAGGAGTAGTGTGGCTGTGGTATCTACTTCAGGATCATTGAGGAACAGAGAGGTTTGGCTACCCTGCAGTTGTAATTATGTACATGACTTATTTGGCCTTGTTTGTCCAATCATTCCAGCTTGTATGGCCACCGTTAATGATAATTATGCTGAGATGCCCAGTTGTTCACTTGAGAAGAGTCCTATGAAATCAGACCGTTAATGCCATATGTATTCTTGATATGCACCTTTTCTCAGACTACTCCACTTCCCTTGTTCATTTCAGTTTTTGCTCACATCCTGCTTTCTGCATGTTTCTTATCTTTCCAGAACATTCCTACTGCTGTTTGTAGCATTATTGGGCCACAATCCACTGCTTCCGACCTGTAGAAAGTAGGAAGGTGCTTTACTTCCCTTTCCTGTGATATAGATATTGTAGCAAACTGAGAACATTTAAGCACCAAAAGTCCTGCCCAAAGTCATGTCTATGCCTTCACTTCCTCATATACATGTATCCACCCTGCATGTGTGCCTGCTGTAGTTCAAGCCCCTTTGGAACCTTTGAGGCCAATGGTCAAAGTAATGTTCCATTTTGCATTCCAATTATATTAGTTATAACAGAAATGCATTTTACATGTATTTCACTTAGTCCTAATTTTCCTCTGAGCCATACTTCATTGCTGCTCTTCCAATGCAACATTCCAACAGTACTCTGTATGCCTTCAGGAAGCCCACTCTGCAAACTATGGAAAATATGAGGAAGGCAACGAGATGTTCTTCCCAGAGTTCAACAGGTACAGGGTTAACCTTTAGTATACACACATGGATCAACAAAGAGACTCTTTTTACATAACCCAGTGTTTTATTTGGCCAACATTTCAGTGACCGTCACCTTACTCATTGCAATCACCTTCCTCAATGCACGTAGTGTAGTATTGTACTGGTAAAACATAACTATTTTTAAGTTACTTTACAGTTACATTCTGTGCTTGTGTAAAGGCAAGGCACAAGCAATTTTGGGTGGTCTTGTTTACTTTACAGGTTTCTTGAGACTGAACACAGCACCACCTTGGACTCTGCAGTTCTTCCCCAAGTCAGAACTGTCATTAGACACTGCTTAGAGGCTATCAGGGAGGTGAGCTAAATTCTGCTGCTTTCTGCATTACTAGTATTGTGTATGGAGCTTCCAGGGTGTATTATTGTATTCTTGACTTCAGCTCCTGGTTTATTGGACTACTGTACACATTTTATTGTGTTGTCTGTAGAGCATCAGTACATCAGGCCTGGACTACTGCAGCTTCCAGCTGTTCGGGTTTGACTTCATGCTGGACACTCAGCTGAAGGTCTGGCTTATTGAGGTGAATGGAGCTCCGGCCTGCGCCAGGTAAGGTGAAACAAATACTATAATAGTATGATATGGTTTCCCTGTAGATCTTTCTGAATGCTACTACTATGAGTTTTGGAGTTGACTTGTATGTGAGGGTTTGGAATGTGGAATGACTCCCACGTGTACTATTTTTTTCTTACCCAGGAAGCTTCTTCCTGACCTTGCTGCTGGCATTGTAGACATTGCAATCAGCCCCCTGTTCCCCCCCACTGCTGATGAAGAAGTGGGGAAGTCTGGTACAGCAGGGAATATCAGGGATGCCTTCGAGAAGTTGTGACGTGCCTCGGTCTGGGAGGTCGTATTAAACCGCGAAAAACATATCAGCTAGCAAACTGTGCCTGGTACAATAGGCAAGTTGGATGATACACATACCAGTACTATTGTTCAAAAGGGAAAGATGGATAAAATGTACACAAACTATTGTGGTTGGGGGAAGGATCCGCTGCACCTACAAACTTACATCATCTATGAAAACTAGCCTGCACCTGGCCTCCAAGCTTGAAAAGTTAAGATAGAAGTTAGATACAGAATATACTGTAAGCTGTGAACCTGCTTGGACTGAAGTTCACATACATATCCAATCAGAGAAGTGTTAAGGCTCATGATGAAAAAGAAACAATCCAGGAACCCTTGCTGTAGAATAGGATGGAAAACTGACAATCTCTATTGTTGTAATAACTGACTAGTGCCTTGGCTGTACATAAAAGTAACTTTTGTGTGTTTTAATTATTAACTTTTTGTGTATAAAATTAAGTCTTTCTTCTGAGCAAAGTATCAGTGAATGTTCTTAAGAGTCTGAAGCAAGCATATTTATGAGTTTCAATTTGGTGTGAAGTTGTTTGATCAAAACTTACTATATTTTATATGCACAGATTGTTTATTATTATTTCATGAAATGAGTATGCTAAGTTATCCAGTTAAGTGAAAGTACAAAATTTATTATTGCAGTTTGATTACTTGCAGGTTTCCAGACTTGCACTCTGCCAGGTTACAGACAGTCAGACAACAGATTTTGATACTATTCATGTGTTCAGTACTATCATGGATAATGCAAAAAATAAAGAAAACTACCGGGGTAGTCCAGTAAAGACATAGACTCTGGACTCATGCTTGTCATCTTTATTGCCACAATAATCTGCACCACAGAAGCAACACGACACAGCCACATAGCTGTATACATTTCTCTGGCCTGCAGACATCATGGAGTGATCTTCAACAATGAAAGAAACATTTTCATCACTCATCAGAGCATCTTAAATCCAGCAGGACAAACTACTGACACATAACATCATAGCTTTCTTGTGACATAAGGAAATGTAAGGAAAAAGATTTGTCTGGTAGTGGTACAGAAGCTGATATGTCTTTTAAGGAAGCTGAAATGTAAGGATTCTGATATGTCAATATGTCTTGTAAGGATTCTGATATGTCTTGAATGGACTGTCTAAATCTCATTAATTTTGATTGACAGGATTCTTGAATCCTTTTTTCTGTTACTGACAACTCATGATTACATCAACAAAACACTAAAGCAAGAGAAATGTACACCACACATCAAACTAACTACTATGAAATGCAACAGTTTTCATGCCCGTTTCATCCTACGAAATTCTATAATACCATCACAGTATCTACATTGCACTCCAGAATCACGGCAACATTTATCTCCAGCATTTCAATTTTCTGTTTTGAATCTCATAAATACAACAATCATCTCATCTGAATATTGCTTCCTTTTATCTTAGCCACAACAACTGTCTTTGTCCAATACTAGCAGTTGCTTAAATACATCTGATATTATTGTCAAATTTTTACATCCCTTTTAAAAAATATACAGTCAAAACCTCAATCTGATGAAGCCATCACTTTACTTGACATGGAAGAATTATTATAACTTAGTGCTGAGAGGTTCATATCACAAAGTATCTTCTTATCATTCTATTCAATTAGCTTTTACAGCTTTGCAGAGGAGAAAGCACCATGTAATTCCAAGAAATCAAACTTTTTTTGCCATGTGTTCCCTTTTGACAGCTTTTCCAGTTCTCTAACTACAAGGCATACTTGGAACTTTGGAAGAACCTCATCAAGGCTTAAACCCAATGTGATTTGAGATTGCAGAAGATTGCAGAAAAGAATATTACTACTTGCAATCTGGCAAGCCCAAAAAATACAGCGAGCCGTGTCCCCTCCCTCTTGTGCCAACTCACCAGCTTGCTTGCACATTACCTCACCATGCTGCTATGCCCAACACAGCCCCAGGCTGTTCCAGCTGCTGACTACACACAGCAGCCACCAGCCGTACCACACACATAACACAAGGCACTGCAGGATCAATAATCTCTATTCTTGCCCACTGGTGACATCCTGGAGCTGCCACCAACCAAAACTCACATCTCGCAAACACGTCTAAACAAAAGTTGGCTGAGAGGCATACTATACAAACATCTATTGTCTAACCTGGCTTTTATAACTATAATACAACACTCAGGAACACTTGGCACTAGGATATGATAAACAGGAAAACAAACTTCACTATAACAAAAACACTGAATCCTCAACTCAAACTTGTACTTAAGGGCCTAAGTTTCTGGGAGATCAATGTTGGAAGGCTGCAGTAAACAATCAGAATTCTTCATCAGAGCAGGTGGCCAACAGGAAATCGATGTCAAAAAGTTGCAAGTGACTAACCAATCAGAATTCTTCATCAGAACTGCCAGCCAGTAGCATGACTCGGTCCATGCCCATAGTCTCCTCTGGCTGTGGGTGCAAGAAAGTTGTCAATAAACATAAAATGTCTTATCACACACATCAGTAAACACAAAAGCAATCTTCTCACACAGCCTTCTCTCAAAGTCTCTCATCTTAGATAGAACAAGGCAATCAGAGATGGCACACAAGGAAAACACACCTAAAGCAACACTTTACTCCCTGTGGGTGAAGTAATAAGTTTACGTTGAGACCCTGACCAGCTTCTTGTTAAAAATAAGAAGATATTAGTGCTGTACATACCCTTAGCTTTCTCTTCCTGCGGAACCTGCGTCGACAGGCCTTCACACCGTACACGAACCCCACGATTGCAACAGCGCCGACCACGCCCGCTCCCACCGGGATCATGATGCTGAGGATGAACCTTGCCTCCTGCAGAAATGGACAGAGAAATTTGTCCTCATCCACTGTAAGCACTGGACCATCCTACACTACCTGGGTGGGTCCCCATGCACCAACAGAACTTAATAAACACACTAGGAAAAATGTATCTCTGATCATAGAACTCAGACATAGACAAGTATGGCTGGAAAAGCAGCAAAAATATTTGCATACTTATCATAGTGAATAATACTTACATGAGACTTCAGTTTCTCTCTGATCTGCTCTCCGAATGACTTGTCACCTGGAGGAACACAAACTACTTTTTAACAACACCTTAGAACACTATTATCTCAAATTCATTTGTAATGGTTGCAGTTTTAAGCACCATGGCCAGTAGATCACACTCAGGTCTGTGACCTGTTTTTCAGGTGTCCCTGGGAACATAGACACATGACAATTTTTCCACAATAGAGTACAAAGGGCCAGTATGTTTCCACCCTGCACCACCCCATATTCTGCAGACACATCTCCCTGTAAAGGTACGTCATACCTCCTTCATCCTTGTCTCCTTCGGTCTTGTTGTCTTCCTTGGCTGAGACAGTCTTTGGTGCTTCCATTGGCGTCGTCTGCTGTTCATTAGATGTTGAGGTGTACTCTGTGGTAGGTGTGGCACCTGCAGGTGTAGACTCCATGGCACCTAATGTGGACTCAGTGGCAGCTACAGGTGTGGACTCAGTAGCAGGTGTGGATGTAGACTCAGTGGTTGGTGTGGGTGTGAACTTACTAGTAGTTGTTGACCAGAGAGCCAACTCCTCTGTGGAGGTCTGAAATCAAAATAATCGTTGAAATGTTTCTGTCACCTGTAACGTTACCTTTTTTGTTCCCAATAAGATAGAAAGAAAAGGTGTTTCTGATTCTGTATTAGTCACAGAAGTAGGAATTTTGGTTAAAGTCTGTTATTTTCAAGGTAAGAGAAAAAGTAAACCCTGTGTACTGCTGACCTGAGGAGTGGTCATAGCAGTGCTGGATTCCCACATGGGACTGGTGGAAGTGGGCTCCTCCAATGTTGAAGTCTCCATGGTCTGAGTGGTCTCGTACACAGAGGCTGTTGAACTCTCTGTTGTGCCATAACCTGTGGAACCTGTGGTTTCTGTACCAAGGCTCATGGTAGGGAGGGTCCCTGTCCAATCAGTTGGGAAGTCTGTTGAGTTAGCTGGAAACTCTGTTGAGTTAGCTGGAAACTCTGTTGAGTTGGCTGTGAGTTCTGTTGAATTTACTGAGACTTCTGTAGAATTATCTGCAG